CCCCAAAACCCCAAAACCCCATAAGCAAACAAAATAGCTAATTCAATAATTAAGGAATTGAATTAATTTCATTAAGTAGAAATGAAAACTGAGGCGAGATAACTTGTCAAGAATGCAGAACCAATTGTTGACCCATAATAATTTCTAATTAATGAAGTTACCTGCATAAAATACTTACAATCCAGTTGACCAGAATCTCAAAACAACGAAACTCATAAAGATGAACGAGAAGATATAAACTAAGTTAACGAGCCAAAGTCCATATAGAGTAGATTCATAATTTATTTCTTTCATTATGGAGAGTCTCATTTACTGATTTGCCTTAATATCTTCTTGATTCTCATTTGCAGACACATTTTTCTACTTCCTTTTGTTATCCGATCCAGAGAGACTTATCAGGTCTCCTTGTCTTGACTTCAAGATTCTAATTGAAATATAAATAAGATTTTTAATTTACTGCTCCCCTTTGTCATTCATGAAGTTTCCATACGTATATAATAGTGTCAATATTGAAATTAATGAGCATGCCACAAACATAAAAATATACTCCAAGACATCCAATTCAAACATTTACTGCACCAAGTCTAATACTAATTAATCTATTTGATAATTACAAGCTGGTTGAAGTGTAACAACTATGCTAGATGGCAATAAAATTAAAAGTGCTCTTGTCACTCCTACTCTGATAGCTTTAGTCTCTTTGTACTGTGCGTCTAAGATATAATCGTCTGACATTACAAATATAAATAATTAATAATTATAAGTTATCTTTAAATTTAAATTATGGGTAAAAAGGGACTTTCACTTGAAGATAAAAGATAAAAGATTCTTGAAATCTATTATGAGAAGGTATCATAATTCTGAATAAAGATATAAAATTTAGAAAGAGGTATTCAATCTTAAGGAAATTGAGAAATATGGAGCAAAGAAGGGTGTTGGTAAGTATTGATGCAAATATAACCTCATTTAGTTCTGTAAACTATCAAAGATGTCAACTAAAGTTTAGTTGATGACAACTTGGTTGAGACTGATAGAATTGGAGCAGGTGCTTTCTTCTGGGCTTTGCCTTCAAAAGGCTACTAATCAAGATAAAACCTAATTGACAATATCACAAATCATTAGTAGACTCTTGATAAGGATATAGAGGAAATTGAGGCTAAAATTTAAATGGAGAAAAACAGTAGAATCTCCAATGACGGTGAGAGGGAGTAGATGATGAAAGAACTGGAAGAACTTAGAAAAGATAACTAATAAGTAGTAGCAAAACTCAAGCTCTATGAGAAATGCGATCCAGAAAAACTAAAGGAGATCAATGAGAACAAAAAGAAATGCCACTAAGGCATGGTAAGGTGGACTGATAATTTGTATGAGATAGAAAACTGGATAAAGAAAAATAATGCTGCTATGACTGGTGAGGAAATTTATCAGGCATTTCCTATTCTCAGAGACTTAGACTATTTGGAATGATGTATTATTAAATCAAGTAGTTAATGTAGTTATATAAATTGATTATAGTTCTATTTAATTTAGTTCATAGCTAAGGCATTCGTAATTATTTACTTTCAAAGTCATCATTTCTAAGAAGAATTAAGTTTCTTCTCATTCTTATAGTCTTTGATAAGATTTTTAATGTCTCCTAGTACCATACTTTTCTACTAGTCCATTGCTTTTTATTTCATATATTCAATGTTTTCGCAATTCTCCTTCAATTAATTCTTTAGATGCCTTATTTCTTATTTTAGATCAATAGTTTGATCCTTAAAATTTTCTTTTGCCTTTTCCGTTTATCTGAGTAATCCTTCAAGACTTTCAGCTTTCTTTTTCAATTCCTTATTTTCATCTAAAGAGTATTTATAATCAACAAATAGGTTCTAAAATTTAGTCTCAACTTCATTTATTTTCTATTAAAATCATTAATTAAATTCTGCTTACCAGATTCTAAGTTTCATTAAGGTATCTATTTTCTTTTTCTAGTTTCTGAAGTTTTTCGTCATGGTACTTTATATCTTTTGTACTCTTCATTCCATTTCTCATTTCAGTTATTAGATCATTCAATTTCTTGATTTTCAAATCCTTTTGTTGAAGTTTCTCAATTAAATCAGTTTTCTCCTTTTCTTTTTCCTTAAAGTCTTCAATTACCTCCTTCATTACCTAAATTTACTGCAAAATAGCTAGATTTAGATTCTACTTCTGGTCTCTATCCTCTTTTACTTGCTAAAGCTCTCTTTTCAATTTATCAATCTCTAAGTCCTTAGATTCTTTGGAAGTATCAATTAATTTATCCTGCTTTTCTTTCAATTTTAGTATTTATTAGTCTTTTAGTTTAAGTTATGATTAAAGATCACCAATTTTTTACTTTGAATCCTTCAACTACTTTTTATTATCAATATTTTTGGAATTGTTAGCATTAGATGCTTTGGATTAATTTTAGAACTGCTGTATCTGTTTCTCATAGATGATTTTAAGATTTCTTAAAGATTCATTCTCTGTTAAAGCCTACTTTAGCTTGCCTTAAATGACATTAATAGTCTAATTTAAATCATTTTCTTTATCAAATTCAGCAATATTAGAGAGCAATACTTCCTCTTTCACTTCAATAGATTAATCAGTATTGCAATAGAGACTACCTTTTGGTTAAATAATTGAGCTAAACTAACTATTAAATTTGTTCATATCTTGAATTCTACCTATCGAAAATAATCTCTTTTGACTTGTATAATTTGATGACACTCCAGATGTTTTAAGATAAAGACTGCTGCTTTAAAATTATTAATCATCTTAAAACTATGGAGTGTCTCTTTGTTAAATTTGGTCTACAGGAGAGGCATTTCCAGAAATCACTTAATGATATGCAGATTCATCTTTATCAATAATCTAGCATTATATGTTTTAGTTTCTATTAATCTTTGCTTGCTCAATAAGTTGTTCTTATTCTTTTGGCTGAAGTTTGTCTGTTGCTAAAGGGGATAGTAATTTATTGCTACTTATACTTTGCCTTATAGATCTAGAAGCTGATCTCTACATTTATTTCTTAGATCTTTAAGTACTTCTCCCTCCCTTTTTTCCTGATTTCTTAGCTTATTAACTGCTCACATATGAATCTCTAAAGCTTTTGTAAGCAGAATGCTAACTAAGTACAGATTTCTATCTGGTTGCTGAAATAGCCTATCTCGAATTGCTTTAATAATTGCTTATATTGATAGGCGATTTTTGCTATTGTAAACCTTACTGTTCTTTTACAAGTTTGTAGCATTCAGTCATTTAGGAATGCAATTCATTTATTAAGCATTGGTCGAATTCTCCAACATTAATAATGTTTCCCTTCACATCATCTATTTTCAGCTAAATTTTCTCAAGAGTAAGTTTATACTTTTAGATTTTCTTTGAGTTCATTTTATTTTTCTTGACTAATCTCATTTAAACTTTATTGATGATCAATAAAAGTTATCCCATTTCGACTTAATGTATTGGAAGCTCATCCTAAGTCTTAAATATATTTTCAGCGAGGTGTGTTTATAAATCATTCTCAGATATACCGTTAAAATATGATTTTATTTTTTGGCAATAGTCAAGGGCTATCAAAGTCTATTATTAGAGTTCTCTTTTTGGTGATACACTGCATAATAAAGCAACTTTTGATTCCTAGCTAATATATTAGCGTAGGTATTAATTGAATGGGGAACTTTCCTGCTCTTCAGAAATTTAAAATCTATGATTTTGATAATACTATGATAACTTAAGAATTTCATTAGTAACTGAGCTAAAGTTCATTGTCAAATTCTAAACAATTAATGTGCTACCTGATTGATTCAAACATTCAATACCTCCAAGGTCAATAAAGATTAGGTTATTAACTTAGATTATCAGATGAGATCCATATTTAATGTTATCTTTAGTATTGTCAATTTACTTATTTGTTATAATTTTTTTAACAATAGATTATCTTGTTCGTTAAGATTACCTTAAATCATACCAAAATTCTTAATTAACTTAAGAGTTGGTTTATCCTTAGTAAGATTTTTAAATAAGAGTGTACTCCAAATCAAGATAGAACATACTAACTCTTAGGAATTTAATTGGATCTTTTAACTCACTAACGCATTTCGAAATAAGAGAATCTGGATCGATTGGGTTGAATAAATCACTCTTGAATGATGAATTCTAGCCAAATAGAAAGAACAAATCATTTGCCTTTTCATTATCAAGGTTTGAATAGTTGTTAATCTACTGATTCAAATTTTAAGTTTTCTGTTCATTATGGAAAAAATTGTTAATTTATTTTGTCAAGCCTCTTATGTTATGCCCTTAATCCTCATTAATACAAGTATCATAGAGAAAAGTCTTGAAATCAGAAGGATTATCATTTAGAGTCATAAAGTATGGTATAGATTTTTAGTTTGGTAGGATTTGTTTAAGAACATCTTTGTGAACGTAGGCTTTTGAATTGAACAGATATCTTGATTACTTTTGAGTTGTAAATAAATTTGTATATCTTTACTTAACTTCCTTAGCTTCAAGGCACCTTAAATCCAATTAACTTTTCTATTTTTAAACAAATGAACTACTTCTGCTTCCCATCCCAGACGGCTATTAATGTCTTCCAGTCCGTTGTGTTTATTCTTTATTTATCATTTCCTTTTTAGGAGCTCTTACTATGCATCCAACAAATAAATTGCTGTTTTTAAATATATCCTCGAGTTCATCTTTCTTAGATTAATTGAATTATAATTATTTGGCAGCAGAAAGATTTTCAGTAATAACTGGCTTTTCAGGCGATAGAGAAGCTTCGCTGAAGTATTGCTTCTATGAAAGATTCATAACTAAATTGTACCCATCATTTCTTTATTCCTCTAACTCTGGTTCTTCCTAATATTCTCCTTCCAGATCTTCCTATTGAGATATATACTTTAAGCAGTTTAAATCAGATTTAAGTGACGATTAAAGAAATTGCTGGTTATCCTCTGTGTCTAATATTCTGTTTTTCTGATATGAATAATTTTGGCAATCTTCAATTTCAATTCGATTTTCACTCGATGTCCGAGATCTTGATTCCTGAGAAATTATTTGCTAGTCTTCAATGATGTTATCGTTACTCTCTCTAGAATATGAGGAGTCTGAAAGTGGATTATTTTGATTATAATTATGATTATTAGAATGCTATTGCTTTCGATCTGTGTTTTTATTTGACAATTGCTATTCGTCGTTCATTATTTAAATTTGAATTAATGATTTCAAAATAAGTTAATAAATTATGATAAATTATAAATAAGACTCAGCTTTATAAAAAACAAAAACTTAAAGACTATGATTATACTTAAAACTAATATTCTGTGATCTCTGTACAATCCTATAACACTGAATAAGACCGATAACTGATATATAAGTCAAATCAAGGATAATTGCTATGAGTTTTATTAAGTTGGTATTTATAACCTGTGTTGTCTATAAAAAGATAGAAATGCTAGAGTCTTACTCTATTTCCCTTGCTTATAAATTTTCTTCGCATAATCTTTATTGAAGTCTCATCGCAGTCTTTGCAATATCTCAAGGTTTATTATGATCAATTTTAATTTATATTCCTCTTTCAATTAAATTTTAATTCTAGGAGAGTTTATTACTGCAGCAATTAATCAAAGTTCCTTCAGTGACCCTCGCAAACAAAATGTGATGCATCAACCGGGATTCGAACCCGGGTCAAGTGCTTGGAAGGCACCTATCCT